ATCTTCCTGATCCACATCTTTAGCAAAAGCTCATAAAAGTTCCTTTCTGACTTAAACAGTAGATCATCTACAATCATATTATGTTGGATTAAAAAAAATCAAAGGATTATCTGATTAAAATCAAATCAGAGTCCCAATGAATTAAAAAAATACTTGCCAAAGGTTATTTTAGTTTTGTTAATAAAAGATAAAAAAAAGTTTTAGAAGTGGAGAACACTTAAAACACATTTAATTACTGCTGTTTCTGTATTAATTATTGATTTATAGTTTTTGTTCTTTCTTTTTCCTTGTTTGGGATTCAGTATAAAAGTGATGCCAGATTTTTCTGACATAATGTACAAAAGTAGAAGATAAGACTGGACTTAATATTTTCATTTGTGTACACAGGAAAAGCAAAATTTAACTTATTACTCTGCCTATAGATGTTTATCCTAAAAGCTCCAAAATTGGAAAAGATAATCCCACAGTGTAGATACTTCTCTTTATTTTTTGAAGTGGGAAGGTAATTTTCACATTAAACAGAAAAGATTTAGGAAGATGTATTTATTTTGGAAAATAACTAAAGAGAATATTTTTTCTTATTATTATGAAACAAATATAATTACATCATATATAATGACAGGTCCTACTTTAGCTTTATAGATAATTTCTTTCAATTTCTACTTTAAACTCAATGCCACTTAAATTCTTCTTTTATGCAATCATATTACAGGAGACCCAATGGTATTGTCTCTTTCAATATGTTTTTTTTTTTAAAATTTTAAAGTCATTTTTGTTGTGGTACCAGAATTTATAATACTGTTAATCATACTTTTAATGCATCACTGTCACTGTCACTGTCCTCCGTTGTTCATCGATTTTCTTGAGTGGGCCCAGTAACGTCTCCATTGCGAGACTTCGTTGTTACTGTGTTTGGCATATTGAATAGGTCACAGAGAGCTTGTCAGGCATTGCCGTGTGGGCAAGCTACTCTCAGTAGCTTGCCGGGCTCTCCGAGAGGGGTGGAGGAATCGAACTCGGGTAGGCCATGTTGGCTGTGTGCAAGGCAAATGCCTTACCCGTTGTGCTATTGCTCCAGCCCACTTTTCATGCATAATAAGTCCAATACCACACCCTTCATCTTTCAACATATTTAAAATACTTGTTTTTGCCCCCTAGTCTGAAAAGTTTTTATATAAAAAAAAAGAAAGACAGGTGTCTTGGTGATAAAAAAATTAATCAAAAGTAACGCCATTATGCTATGATTAATTATATTGATAGAAGTGTATTCCCAGAGCAATCAAATATGATATAGTTTGATAGTCTAATTTAACAATTGTTTCTATATGACAAATTCTGTTAAGTAGATTGTCATTGGTAAGGGAATTCTTTTTAACCAACTTGTACCTTCTTTAAACTTTCTTTTTCTTCTTTTTTTTCATTTTGGGTCACATCCAGCGATGTACAGGGATCACTCTTGACGGTGCTCAAGGGACCATATGGGATGCTGGGAATCGAACTCGGGTCAGCAGCATGCAAGGCAAATGCCTTACCCACTGTGCTGTCGTTCCAGCCCCTTAAACTTTCTTTTTAATACTCAAAACACATTTGCTCTTTAAAATAAGGACATTATTTACCCATGTATACATGCTGCAATTTTCACTTATTAGCCCTTTGGTCTGGTTATATTTGAATAAATGATCTCTCCACAAAATAAACTATTATTACTGTTTGGAGAACAGCAAAAATAGTTTTGCTTTGCTCAGTCTATTACCTTTCTTTTTCTCTGCTCTGGTTGTCTGATCACTCACTTTACTTAAAGAAGCAGTGGTTTTGCTTCTTGTAGGCAAATCCATAATGTAAGAAAGAAAGGCAATCAAAAAAAAAAACATTCCAGGGCTGAAGCGATAGCGCAGTGGATGTGTCGTTTGCTTTGCACGCTGCTGACCCGAGTTCGATTCTCAGCATCCCTTATGGTCCCCTGAGCACAGCCAGGAGTAATTACTGAGTACATGAGCCAGGAGAAACCCCTGTGTACCTGTGTATCGCTGGGTGTGACTCATAAAAAGAAAAAAAAAGACCCAAAACATTCCAGCTGGTCTCCTGCCCTCTTTCACGCTTGCATTCCTTTCCGACCTAAGTACAATACTAAGGTGAATGAGCCTGCTAGAGAGGCTCTTTCTCTGTCTCTCCCTACATCCTTTTAGCTAAATCCATGTAGGCAAGATGATTTACCTGGCAAATTACAGTTATTCAAAATTCTGCAGCAATTCAATTTTGTTTGATGTGCAACTTGGAATGGATGGAAGAAAAATTTTTTCTTTTTTTTTTTTAATGAAGGTGGGAGGCAGAGCAGGAGGGGATGGTAGTGTTGGGCCACACCTAGGATGCTGAGGTAGTATATCTGAGTATGCTCAGGGATCACTTGGAGTTCAGGGGACTTTATGTGGTGCAAGGGATCAAACTGGTGTCTGCTCAAGCACTATAACCATTGTATTATCTTTCTCTACCTCTGCACCATGTTTTCTTAAATGGAACCTGAGATGAAGAGCCAGGGAGAGAGTTCAAAGGGGGTAGGTTAAAGGGATATACATGATAAACTTTCAGTATCTATATTGAAAACCATAATGCCCAAAATGAGAGAGAGAGAGAGAGAGAGAGAGAGAGAGAGAGAGAGAGAGAGAGAGAGAGAGAGAAGAGGTCCCAGGCATAGAGGCAGACGGTGGTGGGGGTGGTTTGGAGGAGAGGAAGGGAAACTGGGGGACATTGGTGCTAGGAAATTACACTGGTGGATGGGTGGGTATTGGAATATTGTATGACTGAAACTCAATCGTGAACAGCTTTGTAATGCTCTATCTCATGGTGATTCAATAAAAAAAATTTAAAAAAACAAAAAACAAAAATCAAACAAACAAAAAAGAAATATTACGGAGCTTATAATAGTATGGAATTGCTAGTGTCACTTGTATATATTTAAAATTGATTATGGAAGGAATCTCTACAGGGGTAGTAGGAACTTCAGTTTTTAGAATGTGTCTTTGAATATGAAATGTTGTCCTCTGCTGGTCTGGATAATTGAAGACAAAAACCTATCCATTTTTACCTTTAGTTTATTTTTACCAATCAGGTAAAAGTCATTTTTCTTTTTCCTTCTTCAAATAGCCCTTACTGAGAATTGGCCTAGTTTCATCAGTAGCGATTTAATTGAGTGAGAAAAGCTGATATGTGTGATTTGGCTGTTTTTCTTGTGACTAATTTCTCTTGTTTTATAAAGCTATCACACATTCAGAAAGAATAATGACTTTATTCCTTTTCAACTATTGCTTGTTCCATCTGGATTGAGTCAGGTGAATATCTGAACAATGAGAGCTCTTGAGCTGTAGTTGACTAACACATCACAGACTCTGAGAGCAGCTGTGGTGAGACGGAAACAGCCGCCCCAAGAGGGAACTAACAATATTTTTGCCTTCTTTCTACTCTTTTCTCATTCCTGCTCTGTTTCCTTAGATGCTCTCTAATCGTGCCTCTGACTTTTGACCACTTGTGTACCTATGTGAATGCATCATTTATGTGGCATTGACTTTATCTCAACTAATTGTTTGGGTAGTTACCCAAATAAAATCCCAGTTTACAAACTCTTTGACATTCTCAGAATATTTCATTGCGACACCTCCCATGCTGATGAACATCCTCTGATTATTATAAATGTCTCACCTTTCTTGATTAGTAAATAAGTGACATAAAGTTCTCTCTAATTCAGCCAGAGGTCCTGTTACTTGTGTTTTCTTCCTGAGAATGGGAAAAAGGTCACTCTGATAGGCAGACAGGCCACAAAAGTTACTTATTTGGGGCACAGCAAATAGAAAAATGTGGCTTTCCTTAAGGGGACTTTATTGATTGTCTGGTTGAGTGGGATCTGATGCTATCCCTATTCCCTCTCAGCCTTGGTCATACACTAGATCTGATATGCATAATTCTCATGGCTGTTGTGTACCTCCGAAAGGGTGACAGAAAATAGTACTCCATCCTGCTTCCATCCCTTTCCATTATTTATTTATTTATTTATTATTATTATTTTTAATGAAACACTGTGAGGTACAGTTACAGATTTACAAACTTTTTTGCTTACATTTCATTCATACAATGATCGAGTATCCATCCCTCCACCAGTGCCCATTCTCCGCCACCAATAATCCTAGTATTTCTCCCCCCTTACCCCCCATCCCTACCTCCTCTGTGGCTGGCGCTTTCCCTTTTATTATCTCTCTCCTTTAGGGCGTTGTGGTTTACAATGCAAGTATTAAGTGTCCATCATGTTTGGTCTGTAGGCTACTTTCAGCATGCATCTCCCATCCTAAGCAGGCCCTCCAAGCACCCTTTACTTGGTGGTTCCTTCTCTATCTGAGCTGCCTTTTCCCCTAGCATGTGAGGCCAGCTTCCAAGCTGTGGAGCAGTTCTCCTGGTCCTTATCTCTACTATCCTTGCATCCCTTTCCATTTTGAAATGGCCTTTGTGATAGTTTAACATAGCTTTTTCTTTTCTAGTATGGCATGCTAGTAAGTTGATTCCAGGTCCTTCCTTTAAGGACCACCACAACAAAGTATTTCTAGGAGGTACATATGGATAGATGATGAAACTTTACTGATGTGTTTTTAATTTTCATTTTATTATTTATTAAAGTTATTAAAGTTATTTTAAAATAATTGACTTTAGTATAGGTAAGATGGTTACAATAGTGTTAAATTATGTGATACTGATGTATAAAACTACTGCACCTCATAGCCACCAAAGTGTCCACCACTCCCTACCCATACTGTGCCTATGTTATCTTGTATATTATTTATTTGGAATCATGTGTATCTATCAGTTAAAATAACAAAACCTGTCATTTTAATTTTCTGCTTCAAAATTCAGAAACTACCACTTTACCATAAGAAAAATGATGACTTCCTTCTCCCTGTGTCCCAGAGCACAAAGGAATGAACAATTAAACTTAAGGCTTTTCCCCTTTATTCTTCTAGGTGATGTTTACCACATCACTGGTCCCAATAAATTCACCTTTGAGGAGGCCAAAGAAGAGTGTGAAAACCAGGACGGGCGGCTGGCGACGGTGGGAGAGCTCCACGCAGCTTGGAGGAACGGCCTAGACCAGTGCGACTATGGGTGGCTGTCAGACTCCAGCGTGCGCCACCCTGTGACTGTGGCCAAGGCTCAGTGTGGAGGTGGTTTAATTGGGGTGAGAACCCTGTATCGTTTTGAGAACCAGACAGGCTTTCCTCCCCCTGATAGCAGATTTGATGCCTACTGCTATAAAAGTAAGTATTTGACTTCTTTTTTTTAAAAAAAATTACAGATTCAAAAAACTACTTCAAAAGCAGTCATTGATATTCAGTTGGCCATTGGAATAGCTTCCATGTTTTGCAGTGAGTGCTCAGAGTGATAAACATTAATGGCTTTGAAAAGCAAACAAATGGAACAGAAGCTGTGTGGGTAGGGTTTGCAGGCATAGCTCAACAGTAGAACATGTAGAACATTGCCTTGTCTGGGTGAGACATGGGGTTGGATGCCCAGCACTGCAAACTACAAACAGAAAGACTTCAGAAAGAATAGATTTAGGATAGGTTATTTGTATAGGAAAGTAGAGGGGAATTTGACAAACAGTTCTTTGAATGGAATGAGAAAATATCAGGTTAGGGCCTTACCTATGCCCTTGAATCACTTAAAATATTTCTGGGTAGTTATTTTATATTAATTGTAGTCAAACAATTAGATTGTTTGTGTTATATTCAATATTACAAAGCTGTTGGTGGCTGAGTTAAATCCTTGAATTCTGTTTCTTGTATCTTCATGTGTAATCACTCTTTAAAGTGACAGAGAATTTAAATTTTAGTAATTGCAGGTGAGTATTTGGAACTGACATGAATGACCGTGGCTTATAAAAATGAACCATATAATGTATATATATATACAAAATTTCTACTCTTCTCATTTTATTTTAAGCAACAGAAATAAGTGCCTTCTAATATGGTTATCATATTGAAATATATGTTCTTTTCTGGAATAATATTAAAAGGCTATATTTCAGTTAGGCATAGTACTTAAAATTCATTGTTAAGTTATATTCTCCAATATTTATGGTACAGTTATTTATTTTCAGATATCCTTAAATTATTTTCAGAGGAGTAGTTATATGATACAATCTCATGCTTGCAGAATTTTTAATTAAACACTCAAACAAGCAAGAAAGTCTGTAGTCTTATTGTGAAGTTTGCTTTGGGTCCTACATCATGCCAGCTGAATAAAGATTCCCTAGAATTTTTGGTGACCCAGTTCAAATTAGCACCCTGTTAACTTTAAAAGTTACTGAATTTTAAAAATCTGTAATTCATGTGAAATGACTATAAAGTATACTACATTTCTGTGTAATTGTTTTCTAAAGTAAAATACACAGATTATTCATCAACCAAAATAACAGAGTTGGATGTCTATACAGTCAGCAAAATAGATGTACTACACAATAGGAGTTAACCCTTTCCATTGTGCTAACACCTATTTTGTGGACTATTTAGAGCTCCAATTCTCTAACTTTGGTTGATTTTGTTTTCAGCTGAGATGACTTGCTTGGATCTTGCCTCCTAAATTCAACTTTCTGAGTGTTAAAACCATCAGTTGTGTATTAGCATGATGCAAGCTTACCAGAAAGAGCCACTGAAAATAATAATTATTGTTCCTAGGCTCTGGAGAAAAACCATCTTTATTTTCAAAAAAACTAATGACAAGAATAGCAAAAACCTCATTCTTAAAAGCACAATATGATAGGCATTTCTTTATTCCGCATTCTCAGAATAGTGACTTTTCAAGTAGTTCAGGCTCTAAAATTAGTTTTTCATTAAGTAACTAAAACAATTAATAAGCAAAATTGGATTGTAGTTTGTGTGTGAGTTAGAAGGGGTTAAGAGGTGAAATTGGGGAAAGATTTTGGCTAACTTGTAGATTATGCTTTATAAAACTTTAGAATTACTCCCTGATGGTAAACTTTAAAGCAAAACCTCTATATAGCCACAAAGAATTTATCTGGATGTATTTTAAATATTTGACTCAAATGAGCAATTCACACGCATGTGTGAAATACCAAGATACTTAGATTCAAATAAAGTAACCACCTACAAAAATCTACATAAAATTTGAACCAAAAGTTGAGGTTTCAGTCCATGATTTCCTCCAATAATAGGCTTTTTACTTTCTCCTAAACTCTATTTCTAAAAGTAATTTCTGAGAATTAAAACTTGTTTTAGTATAGAGATATAGGAATAAAGCCACAGTTTTTCTTGTTTGCTTTGAACAGAATGGGAAGTGTTTTTAAAGCTACCTCGTGGTGAATGAACAAAATTAAATTTCACTTTGTTACAGTTTTTTCCCTTATAAAAATCACATAAGAGAACATTAACCATTACTGACAATAAGTACCATTAGTTTATTCTTATAAAACAGTTCTAGCAGTTTATTGAACATACTCATTCACTTGTCTCTCAGTAACTCTTCCTCCAAAGGAAAAACGTTTCTTGTTTATAGGTCTCACTTTATAAACCCATAATTAGTAAGTGAACTTTCTCAAATCTTTGTTAGTTTTTACTTCTCTCTGCTCAAGATAGATGAGAGCCTATGGTGTAGAAAAAAACCTAAGTATCCATGACTCATATCTATCTTATTTGGTTTGAAATTTACCCTCCCTTCTAATATATGGTCTGTTAATTCTTTTTTTGCACCCTTTACCATAAACTGACCACAGACATCAAAAATTCTTTCTCCTAAATGTTATTTTACAGATGTTCTCTATTGGACCAGGATATGGCCCAAGTGGTCTACCATGAGTCCAATACCTTGAGGGTTAATTTGATCCCCATTTCCACGAAGCCTCCATGATTTAGTATAACCATTGTGGTCCCCAAGTATCACAAGGCTAAACAGACTATTTTTCAAAATGCTCTATGTTTATGATTTAGTGTTAGTACAAATGCTAAAAGACAATTTGTTTTTTTCAGTTTGTGAATTTTTTGGTGGGAAGTTAGGGACCTCCCAGCAGTTCCAAGGAAGCCTGGGCATCCCTGAATGCAGTGCAGTTTGGGCCCTGTGGTGCCAGGGATTACCTGAACAACCCAGGGTGGTGCTCCAAGGTCTCCAGGGCCGTACTTGGTGGTGCTCAGAGGACCATGTGGTGCCAGATATTAAACTGGGTTTGGCTGCATTCAAAGTCTGTAACTTAATCCCTGTACTATATCCCCAGTCCCAAAGAGATGAGTTGAATCTGAATCTTCTTGTTGTAACTTTTACTTTTTCTTTCCAACTCTAAACCCAGAGTCAACTTATTGATTGTTCACTCAATTTGTGAATTTTCCTGACTACAGTTAACTTACATATTACAATTTAATCCAGAGGAACAAATTTAGTTCTGGTCAAAATCTGATTAAAATTTTGACTCAAATTTTAACACAGAGGAACAAATTAGATTTTGGTTAAATGCATGTATTTTGGCTATGAGTTAAATTAACTATCGTGCTGCCAATCAGTTTTTCCTATTTTATTAGGAAAATATGTTTCACACCATACAGTAGAAGCACGGAGATGATAGTTCATAAAATACCCGGAATACAGTGATGTGAAACATCTGTAGCTGACAGCTGCAAAGCTGGAACAGAGCTTTTGTGGGAAAAGAAGCATTCTGATATTTTGTTGTCTTCTTTAATAATATAATTGAAGGGACTCTGGTAGTTCTCCAAGACAGAAACTTCTGCATGCTCCTTCTGGAAGGACACTTTTAGAATAATCTGGAACCATGTTTTTTTACCATTAAAATAACCTTTGTTAATCTAGTGAGATTTTTTCTTAAGATACCTTTTTGTTGCTTTTTCAAGGTTTTTTGGGGAGATGAGGGAGGAGATGGTTCAAATGGCACAATGATGGACACACTAAATTATAATGGGAATCAACTGTTAAACTGATGAAAACGCCATCTGACCCTCAAAGGAAGTCTGAGATTTTTATTTCCAAGTACTAAAATTAATTTACTTAATTATAGGCAGCTTTTGGAATGGGTTCTAAAATTATTATAAATTCTTGTATCTGAAAACAAAATTGTTTAAATCCTGGTAAAGGAGATTCTTTGAGGCATACCTCCTATATTTTTACTATGCTAAAGAGCTAGAGGAATAATAGAGAAGTGGAGTCATAATCAAATCATGTTTAAAGTGATTGAGTTTTTAAAAAATCTGGAGCCTTCATTTTTTATTCATTATAGAGAAATTCTCATGGCACTGTAAAAAATTGCTAGCTCAGAACTTGGGTTGAAATATAGGAAGAACAGATTCACATGCCCTCTGTATCACATCCTCTTAAGTCATCAGCCAAGGATCTACTCAGATGGAAAGAGCAAAATTAGATTTTTAGTTATTATTAATAATAACACGATTACATTTTTTCTAATATTCAGTAATCTGTATTGTTATTATGTTTCTATGGGAACTTTTCTCTGTACGTTCATTTTACTATTTCCCCAAAGAATATAGTTATGAGGCAAACATGATATTTGGCAGTTAAATGAGGTAACCGTTGTGGAATTTCAGAGGATAGAAAATTGAATTAAAATACAATAGTCAAAAAAAACCCACTATAGTCATTGTTTTCTTATGTTATTCATGACTATCAAATACTTGAATATTTCTTACAAGAAATGAATACAGAGCCATCTTTTCTTTGAAAGGCAAGGGAATATATAATATGTTTTATACTTTACATACTTGTTATTCATTTAATTTTGTTTTGGTTTTGAGCCACACCCAGAAGTGTTTATGGGCTACTTCTGACTTAGTGCCTGGGGGTTGTTGCCCTGTTGGTGCTTGAGGAATCATGTTATACCAAGGCCTGAACCTTTATCTGCTGCACCGCCTATCGGTTAATCATATCCCTGGCTCTGAGAGTCCTCTTCTTAACTAGTTTTGTTTCACTAGAATAAGATAAATAGTATGAGAGTTTAAAGAATATATAAACATGCCATAATATAAATGGTCCTTGAGTTTACAAAGACAGGACCAGAGTGATAATATAGCAGGTAGGACACATGTTTGCACACGGCCAACTCAGGTTCGATCTGCACCCCATATAGTCCCCTGAGCACTGCTTGGAGTAATTCCTGAGTTCTGACCCAAGAGTAGCCCTTGAGCATTGCCAGGGTGGCCCAAAATAAAAGAAGGATGACTTTAGGCTTTCAAATTGTCTGGGACTAATCACAGCTAGTAATAGTTCATACTAAACAACAACAAAAAATGAGGCCTATTTTAGGCTTAATCTAATTTTCAGTAAAGTCCAATTATTCTATCAATTTTTAAAATAAAATTCTTTTTTTTAGAGAAGTTTTAAGTTCGTGGTACATAAGTGGAAAGTAGAAATGTCCCATGTGTCCTATGTTCAGACTTATGCGTAGCATTCCCTATTTATCAGCATTGCACATCAGAGTAATATATTAATTGCAGTGAACAAACTCATTTTATCATAATATAGTTACCCAAAGTTTTAGTATAGTTAATCAGAGTTTATAGTTACCATTGGAGTTCATTCTGTCTTGTTCAACTGTGTTCTAGACAAATCTAGAATGATATGAATTTTCCTTTCTGGTATCATACAGACATAGCACCGCTTTTCTAGTATCATACAATTTTACCACTTAATGTCATTGAGTTTTGATAGAGTAGATGGAGCTGAAAGGTCAGTTTTGTTTCCAAGGTTTCCTGTCTATGATTATTAAGTATAGGTGCTAGAGAGCACTTTTATCTGAGACAACAGACATTGCCCATACAACTAACTTTCAAAGTCGTTTAGGAAGCAGCAAAATAGTTTTTCTCACTATGGTTCCTTCTGAATTTAGGGGCAACTATTTTTTTTTTTAATCTGATTGTATGTGTTAGACTATCATCACAGTTTCCCTATAGTGAGAAGGACTTTTGTTGAAAATGCTGTCACTTTTATATGCAGTTTAAATTTCTTTAAACAAGGAAAACTTTTCTTTGTAAATCTGTGGAGGCACTATGATGTAGCATTTTTGATGGCATGCTATTTCTTATTTCCTGAGTATATCCTTTCCGATGTTCCAACTGTTTCCAAGCATCATCTAAATTAGTCAATAGTCACATAAAGTATAGCCTATTGATACTTTACTTCCTGTTCAACATTTGTCTTTCATGTTCAAGTTTAACCTGGAACTGAGTCCTTTAAAATTGCAAACATAGTGTGTAGAACATAGGACAAAATGCCAAGTATCCTCTGCTGAAACATTTTATAATTTGTTAGTAAAAAGGTACACACAACAAAGTTGAAAGAACCAGCAAGACAAATGTTCAACACCTGGAATCAAGTGAAGACTGTTAATAAAAAAAAGTTTTATATCCTGTTTTTATGAAAGTCTCCACATTATGGACAATGTAATGGTTTATATGCCATTCAGTTACATTTGATGTGGCTTTTTGTTGTTTTGCAATTGGATTCACTCCCTATCCCTTGAGACACTCTGCAGCTTGATGGAGAAGGAGAAATCTGAAGTCAGGGTACAGAAGCCTCTAGAATGAGTTCTCCTAGTAGATTTCAAGTTGCTCCATAGTTTCTGATTTAAAAAACCTATCTGCTGTTTCATTATTCTATTTTTTTAATTTCTCCTTATCTTAAAACTATATAATGCTCATCTTCCTTGACCACAAACTTTCATATCTATAGGCAAACCCCATATTTATGGGTTTATTACCCTTACAATATAAATCAAGTCATCAGTTTGTGACTATTAATTGTTCAGTCTTTTGGACTAATTCAAGTGTAGTTTTTATACTCAATTCCATCACAAAACACTTCGACTCACCCCCAAATACCTAGGAACACTTAGCAAACACTGGACGCACAACATTTTTTTATTAGTGACTTGTCTAATCAACTCTTTGAAATTATTTTTCTAGCTAAACAGAATATAACAGAGGCTACAACCATCGAATTTGAAGAAACTGCATCATCCAGTTTTTCCACAGAACTGGTACCTGACAGAACTACACCTTTTATACCTTTAGTCACTGAATTACCTCTCATTACAACAGCATTCCCACCTGTGGGAAACATAATTAATTTTGAACAGAAAACCACAGCTCAAACTGTCACACACAGAGTAGTCACTGAATCACCCTTATCTGCTGCAAGTACCAAAATGCCTTTAGATATGAGCTCCTATTTACCTTCTTTAGCACCTCTTGAAAAACCAGATATATCTGAAATTACGGAACAAGTGCCCCCAAGTTCAACTGTCATCTCTCATCACACTACAGATTCAAGAGATGATATGACAGAAGACATCCAAACTCAAGAATCAGTTACACAAATTGAGCAAATAGAAGTGGGTCCCTTGGTAACATCTATGGAGATCTCAAAGCATCTTCCTTCCCAGGAATCCTCTATAACTGAAACACCATTCAGATCTACAACAATGACCCAGGAATCCAAAACTGAAAAGAAAACAGTAAGCCCCTTTTCTGAAACAGTTGCCACAGATAGCTATGGCTTTACCTTGGGAGGAGATGATGGTGAAGACAGAACATTTACAGTTAGATCTGCTCAGAGCACGTTGGTCTTCAGCCAAATGCCAGAAGTCATAACTGTATCAAAGACTTCAGAAGACACAACCCCCACACAACTGGAGCATTTAGAGTCTGTCTCAACATCTACAGCTGTCCCACCTATAACTATGCCTGGGAGTGATGGATCACCCAGGACCTGGGAGGAGAAAGAAACTAATGGTTTTGACCAGTCTGTGTCCACCACACCTTTGCCGTCACTGCATCAAACGGAAGTTGAATTGCTTCCTTATTCTCATGATAAAAACTTAGTTGGGAGAAAGACCACAATTGTTTATCCCTATCTAGAAACCAAAATGCCACAAGGAAAAGAAAGAACAGAAACAGAAGCAGGGGATTTGGAGGAAGAACTTGTGACAACTCCAATTGGCTTAGAAACCAGTGGCTATCAAGATACTACCAAGTATGATGAGGGTATCACAGCTCAGCATTTGACCCAGAGCACTCAAACTCTAGAGGTGGTCACTGTATCAAAGTGGTCATGGGATGAAGAAAACACAACATCAATGCTTTTAGAACCCACCGAACACACAGGCTCCCCAGAATTGTCCACTGCCTTACTCACCACGGTGGGCATGAGTGAGATGGGTAAAGAAATCCCAAGTTTCACTGAAGATGGAAAGGATGAATTCACTCACATCCCGGATAGTACCCAAACATCACTAGAATCAACTGAGGAAGACACAGAAAGAGCTCCATCTATCACAAGCACGGAGGGCCCTGTTGTTTATCCAACCACAGAAGGGAGTGCTTCTGGTGAAGGGGAAGATGTTGAGGTCTCAAAACCTGCATCTGTTGTGCCTCAATTTTCATTCACTTCAGATGATGAAGGATTAGCATTTGTTAACTACAGTAGTACCCAGGAACCTACTACTTATGTAGATAGTTCTCATACCATTCCTCTTACTGTAGTTCCCAAGACAGAATGGGGAGTATTAGTACCTTCTGTTTCATCAGAAGGTGAAGTTCTAGGTGAGCCCTCTCAAGATATACGTGTCATTGACCAGACTCACTTTCATTCAACAGTTTCTCCAGAAATTTTAAAAACAGCAACAGAAGTTATGCAGGGAACAACTGGAGAATTCCTTTGGAAAGAACAGACTCCCAAGATAACGGTTCCTGCTCTCAGTTCAACTCCTGGAACAACCCAGGAGACAACATCATTTCTGGATGAAACAGACAGTGATGGATCAGCCTATACAGTCTCTGAAGACAGATCGGTGTCAACATCTGAAGGAGTCCCAGGTTTAGAAACAACTCCAGCTGGAAAAATTGACCAGAGTATGTTTTATCCACCTGGGGCTGTCACTGAGCAAAAAGGCAAAAAAGATGAAATCACACTAACCTCAAGCGTGGAGCCAAAGGAATCTTTAAGTGCAGAACCTGAACCAAAAGATAAAATAGAGGGTACTAGTTCAACCCCTTTTAGCATCACTGCTACCGAGTTTATAGAGGAAACCATTACTGAGGAAAGAGAGAAAACATCCCTAGATTATATTGATTTAGGCTCAAGAGTATTTGAAAAGCCCCAAACCACAGAAATTTCAACGATTAAAGCCACAGTTCCAAGTGACACCACCACTTTCTTCAGTTTAGAAGACAAACTTCACACCATTTCAGCTCCCCAACCATCATCAGCGTCCACTGAGAAACCACCTCTCATTGATAGGGAACCAGGTGAAGAAACAACCAGTGATATGATGATCATTGGAGAATCAACATCTTATATCTCTCCTACTCCCCTTGAGGATATTGTAACCAAGGAAACAGAAGCTGATATTGACACTGAGTATTTCACAAGTTCAAGCATTCCTGCTTCACAGCCAACAAGACCACTCATTGCGAACGAGACAGAGGTTTTCAGACCCCAGACACTTTCTACAACGCAACCCTCAGTGGGGACAAAACTTCAACCTGAAATAAATGTTTATATTATTGAGGTCAGAGAAAATAAGACAGGTAAGTCCTTGCTTTCTAGACATACCAATCAAGGCAATCAGCATTTTATCTTGAAAATTACTTTTGGGGAAAAAAATCAACATACCAAATGCTGCCATTAGAAGATATCTGGAGTGTGAAAATTTTCTATGTTTTTAGCTTCATATATTTTACAAGAATTGGAAGAATATGTTAAACAATTTGGAAGAATGTTAGATATGGTTTTATTTTAAAAGTCATAAGAAGCCCTGCTTTGTCATCTAATATAACCAAATCATCGCTGTTACATCACTTGCAAACATGCAGAACAAACTGTTTTAATTTCAGTGTCTTTCCATGCATTACTACTCAAGTGTAGTACTTGACTGTGTTAACATTCCATTGGTCTTTAACTATTAACCTTCAATACTCACGTTGTGAATGGATAAAGCTCTATTGCACTATTGCATAGTTCTAGGATTGACAGAGTGAGATCTAAAAGTTTTCTTAGGTTTTTCTCTCCCAGAATTTTGCAGGTTTAATACGTGATATGTGGGGTATGTAATTGGTCTGTGGTATAAATGTTGTTTTTCACATGGTTGACATTTTAATGCTGTTGTCCTTGAATATTCTAAAGATGTTTTACACTTTTAGAATAAATATGATCTAATTCAGTACTTGGAAATGCTACAGTCCATTGCATCAAGTATAATTTCAGAAGGAGGATATGCCAATAATGTTTTTTTCTTCCCAAACTGAGCACTGTTTATTAATTGCCTTATTTCTAGGAATATTTTTAATTGCTTTATATCTAGGAATATCTGTGATGCCATCTTTCTGCTCATATATTTTATTTATTCTCTGGCAAAATTCTTAAAAACTTTTTTAAACATTGATTAATTCTTTTAATTTTCATTGTTCAACATAACGTAATTCTTCTTAAAGGTGAGACCAAGCCATCTTTTACATTTGGTAAACTGAGTTGAAGCTATATAATGCATTGTAGTTTACCCGTCTTTTGAGGTTTTGTGTGTTGCTTTTTTAATTGAGATCAATGCTTATACTTAAATTGTTATATTATGGTTTTAGTTGGAGGAATACATGAATAACTTCTCATTTTCTTTGAAATAGATAGCTCCAAGAAGTTAAACTACAGAATGTTTCTTGACCTGATTTTTTCTTTTACTCTTAGGGTGTCCTTCCTCCCTTCCTCCCTCCCTTCCTTTCTTCCTTCCTTCCTCCTTTCTTCCTGATGCTATCTTAATGAGAGTGCCCTGTAGTGCACCTGTTGGGACTGGCAGGTAGCTTTGTTGCCAAGAGTGTTGGGTTGCAGTGTTGTAGGTGGAAACTTTTTATGGGTTTCAGTGTGATTGTAGTGTCCTGAATTTTCTCAGTGTCAAAGCCCCTGTGAACAGTGAATAATTGAAAACCACATGCTGAGTATTAAAATTAACTTCTAGGTTCGAAGATTTTCTTGGTAAAGGTACTATTTCCTGGAAGTCATATTTTATTTCACTTGTATTTTTTTTTCTGTAACTGATGTTGGAGAGAGAGGACAGGTTGCCTTGTGGGGAGGAAGACTGCTCTTGGTTGGGCTAAAAAGGATAAGAAGATGCTATTGTGTCACTGTCACTGTCCTCCCATTGTTCATTGATTTGCTCAAGCGGGTCCAACAAAAGTGTGAGACTTGTTACTGTGTTTGGCATATCGGATACGTCGTGGGTATCTTGCCAGGCTTTGCCATGTGGGCGAGATACTCTCAGTAGCTTGCCGGACTCTCCAAGAGGGGTGAAGGAACCAAACTTGGGTTAGCCATGTCAGCCCTGTGCAAGGCAAACTCCCTACCCGCTGTGCTATCGCTTAAGCCCACTATTGTGTAAATAAATGAAATGATAGGAAAGAAATTGCTATCAGCATTGAATTGAAAAATTTTAAAAAATGGATTGACTGACTGTGCAGATGTTTCCCCCAATTTAAATTACTCTCTCATTAGTGTGAATACTAAGGTGAATCAGATAATACAGAAAACAGTAAAAGATGTTCTTCATTAAAAAACTCTTCTAACCAAGAAAGTGGGTGCCAAGGTTAGGATGATCAAATTACCAAAGAAGTGAAATTGAATTCTCCCAGGAAGAATTAGCAGCTCTCAAGGAAAACAAACAAACAAACAAAACAAACTTAATTTATTAGTGGTTATTGAAATGGAAGGTCTAAGTCACCAAACCCAAAAACCCTTTATATAAAGGTGCATATTTATTTATTTGAGTTGTGAACTCAATTCAGCTGGACTGGGAGATATGACTGTTTCCTCTTCTAGTTTTAAAGCATGGGAACATAAATTGCCATCTAATTTTTGTTCAGCATTAAGTAGGTAAAAATTAATCTCATGGTTATCTTGAACAGGACAGGGTGTGTATGGGGGAGAAGGGTAGTGATGGTTATGAGATTGAGAAGCAATGAATCAGATACCTCTGCAGCTAATTCTGTTTCTTCTTCTATTCTTCACCTCTTTCTTCATCCTATATTGCTCTCTCTCATCTTGTTCTTTATTTTATATGTGCAATTCTTGTTGAGTCTAAAAGGATTGTTTATTATCATAAAGTTTACTCAGATCAAATTTCTTACCTCTATAAATTTTATTTGTTTTCCATAAGAAATTTGTTTTTTTTAAAGCATGTTGAACTTAGGCAGTGAATAACCCCAAGCTGATGTTAAAATAATGAGTCTAATGCAGGTGGATATAGTAATAAAAATACATATGTGACTTAAAAACAACATTTTTTAATGCATCAAGGCACATTTTTCCAGACTGGAAAATCCTTGTTAGATGTATGAACTTGCATAAATCTATTCACAAGCTTAAAATCAACTCTCTCCATACTCTATATCCCAGTAAGCACAAATACCACCCAGGCTACACCAAACAAAGACATTTACAATTTATTTTTTTTTCCCGGCTCAGCAAATCATACAAATCTCAATTTTTTTCACTACTCTGAAACAAAACATGCTACTTAGGACACTTTTATGTTTGATTTGCTTAAATGGATCTTAATAGCAATTTAGGGGTTCTGTTGCTGGAGGGAAAATGTAGTTAGCAGTTAAAAAAATCTGAAGGAACTTTTCAGCTCATAAAAGTTTTATGAGCTGAAAATGCTATGGGGTGTACTTAACAGTGGCTCAGGGGATACCAAAAACATGACTCCTGTCTGTTTCAGGAGTAATTTGCACACCTGCATCTTGAAAAATTATTGAACGGTTTTCTTTGTTAGTGTGTATGAAGTCTATGAGGTCTGCGTGGTTTAAGGGTGTAGAAAGAGTTTCCTCAATTCTGAAATTCTCTCTCTCTCTCTGTCTCTCTCTCTTTTAAGGAATACTCTCCTTCCATTCTTATGAACTGTTACAATTTAGTGTAATAGAATTGTGAATGTTTATTAAAACAAGCATACTGTTCTTTTTAAATCAAAGAGTAATTTAGAAATATATTAAATACAAATATTATGGGAATACTCAGAGTTGTAAGCTTAATTAGGTGGTTTTTTTTTTGTTTGTTTTTGTTTTTGTTTTTGTTTTTGCTTTTTTGGTCACACCCAGTGATGCAGGGCTGGAGCGATAGCACAGACTTAGGGTGTTTGCCTTGCACACAGTCAATATGGCCGACCCGAGTTCGATTCCTCCACCCCTCTCGAAGAGCCTGGCAAGCTACCGAGAATATCTCATCCGCTCGGCAAAGCCTGGCAAGCTCCCCGTGACGTATTCGATATGCCAAACACAGTAACAAGTCTCACAATGGAGATGTTACTGGGCCCGCTTGAGCAAATCTATAAATAATGGGAGGACCGTGACCGTGACCGTGAAAGCAAACATAAGAACTATACAGTTTATCGGGTTTACTTGATGTTATTATTTTGACGGGTGCTCTTTTTTGCTAGTTTTATTGTTACAGCTATATAAATCTAAGAGCAAGACCGAAATAAACCCATATTAAACTACGGTAGCAATAATATGAAGATTCTGTTAAAGTTATTTATATAATATTAAAGATTAATGAGATTTTGAGAATAGCAGTTTGAAAGAGATCAATTTGACTTTTAAGTTGGAATTCATTGTTCTAGAAATGGTGCCTATATGATTAATCACTTCTACATTTTTGTTTATACACTGGAGAAGTGTACATAAAGAAAGGTTTACTTGATAAATGTGATATTGAGGAGAGAGGATAAAAGAGAAAGGAAATTGGCCCTGGAAACAGAACAGGTATATCTGCAAGTCTACAATTTATATAATTGATTTTACAAGTTTTATTTTTTGTAAGTTTAAATTTTATTTGTTGGGGCCATGCCCATAGCACTCAGGGCTTAATCACTTCTAAAGGAGCTGGGATGTGGGGATGGGGTAGGGGGATCTGGGGTAGGGGGGTGGGGGCAGGCGTAGGAGGTGTGAATCTAGGGACCAAGGGATAGAATCTAGGTTGGTTGTGTGCTAACTAAACGCCTTCTCTGCTATACTATTGCTTTGGCCCCTATAATTATTTTTTAAATTTTATGCATTTAAAAAATGCATGGGTCTTCACTTTTAAAGATTTATGTAGAAGAATTACTTTCAGATTTAAAAAATAGGGTCAGATTCTTTTCTTCAAACAAAATCTTTATTCAAGATCTCAGTATTTTTTTTTTCTTTTTGGGTCACACCCAGCGTTGCAACAGGGGTTACTCCTAGCTCATGCACTCAGGAATTACTCCTGGTGGTACTCAGGGGATCATATGGGATGCTGGGAATCGAAACTGGGTCGGCCACGTAAAAGTAAACTCCCTACCCGCTGTGCTATCGCTCCATCTCCCGGTCTCTGTATTTTGAACAGATAAAGTAATGATTGCCTAATTTGAGATCTGGAAGTTAGGAACCCCACTTTCTTGGGACTTCTTTGTTGCCTCTGGTGTAGCTACTAAGATTATGTGTACCTCTGAGCACAGCTAGAAAAAAGAATAAAACCGTCTAGATAATCCAAAATAAAACATAAGCAATTACTCATTCCTCAATAA